TTTAAAATAAATCAATCCATATTTTAAAATAAAATTGTCCATATTTTAAAATAAATCAACCCATATTTTAAAATAAATCAATCCATATTTTAAAATAAAATTGTCCATATTTTAAAATAAATCAATCCATATTTTAAAATTAAATCAATCCATATTTTAAAATTAAATCAATCCATATTTTAAAATAAATCAATCCATATTTTAAAATAAATCAATCCATATTTTAAAATACATCAATTCATATTTTAAAATAAATCAATCCATATTTTAAAATAAATCAATCTATATTTTAAAATAAATTTTAAAATAAATTTTAATGATTTTAATTTTCCCGCAGACCTTTGAAGGCATAAAACCATGTATGCACTAAGAAGAGCTCGCGCAGACGTTTGAAGAACTTCTGTCTTCTAAAAAACAAACGGTTTGCGAAGCCTAATGTCTGTGCGTAGTCTGCGCGGCACAGACATAAGAGGTTTGAAGATGTTGTACAGTAAAAACAAACTAAGCCTAAGATCAACCAATAGTTATTTCTTTTAATTCTTTCCATACACAAGAAAAATGATTACTTAAGTTAGTCAAGTTGGTCTAATTATAATTTTGCTTGCCAATTAGTAACAATTTGTTCTGAGCAGATATAGCATCATTTTAATTGCAAGCGTGGCGCACACTATGCTTGTTCCTTTTAACAAATCACATTATTTTTCTACTCTATCTGTCCATCAAAATGTTAGACAACAGCTAAACTTGGAAGAGCGAAATATGTTATGAATTAGCTAATCTATCAGTACCACATGATACAAGATTTTACCTACAAAATGCATAGGGGAATTGATGACTCAGTAAATAGAAAACAAATAGTAATATAAGCACTGTTTTGAGTTAAGTAGCATAGCTTATTACGCAACTGCAGAAAGAAAGAAAAAATGAGGGAGAGAGACAAACGGTAGGGGAAAATGGCCCAAAACATCTTTTCAATCGTTGGAGATGGTTGGAAAAGATTTAAAAAAGTTTATCAAAAATGTATTTCATCACATAGTACATACCGAGGAAGCCAAATCATCTGCCTTCAGAGTTTTGGCAAGTCCAAAATCCCCTAAACCAGTACAGATCAGGAAGAAAATTGAGGATAACAATCAAAGAATATGCAATCAGGTAGGATATCTAATATAACTCAATGATGTTAAACTAAAGAATGCAAAATTGAGAACCTGTAAGAAACCACAAGAAAGCAAAGGAAATTACAAACTCACCAAGGCGAACATCTTGATCTTTTGTAAGAAAAATATTGGAACACTGCCAAGATAGAGCCAAAAGTTCAGTCCATAAATCATTAAATAACTAAAAAGACTAATCTAATAGAGACAGACCTTAAGGTCACGATGCAGAACAAAATTTGAATGCAGATATTCAACTGCCAGAAGTAGCTGCACAAACCACTTGCCGAGTTTCTGCACAATGTTACAATCATCGGTGTTAACTGCAACTCATAACCCCTTAACAAACTAGTGAAATCAACAGGTATAGAGAAATTAGATTACCTCCTCGGGGAAATGGACCCCATCTGACTTTTTCATCAATCCTGCCCTGTGAGAAAAAGAACAACAAAACGAACAATATTGACACATTGCAAAAGTTGGGACAATTGAAAAGCAAAGCTCTCAAGAAGCTTGGAAACTCACATATCGCCACCTTCACAATATCTGGTAACAATGCAAACAAAGCAACCCTACATTACAATCACAAAATTCAAATTCAACATCAATAAAAGGTAGCCACGTACTCAACAAGCTACTATTTAAAAGCAGATATCGATTCCAGAATCCTAGAGAAAAACAAAACAAAAAGAGTAGTATCGTATCTTACTTTCTCAACCCAAGCTTCCTTAAACTCAACAATGTAAGGATGTTGAACTCGCGCAATAAGAGCCATCTACATTCCACAATATACGAACCAAATTACAACTTGTAAATCGAAACTCTCTATTACAGATTAAATTATTTAAACTAAACAAGTTAACTAACTTCTTGATGTGCAGATTTTCTGCAACTCTCCGTTTGCCGCGCTAGTCTGATCTTCTTCAGCACATACCTGAAATTTTTGAAAAGAACACCAAAAATGAAAAGGGAAAACACACAAATGTATGTTATTAGAAATTTAGAATGTGAGAAATTAGAAGGATACTTTTTCTTCTCGGATTTGTGGTGAACAAGAATGGCAGCACCGAAAGCACCACGGCCGATCTGTTCCATAATTTCGTACTGATCCATCCGAGACTCCATTGCTTTTAACTTTTTGCTCGACTTTTCCCCTTCCAAATCGAAGTTTCCAACAAAAGGAGCGATTAAGGAGAGAAAAATAAAATTGAAGAAAAGAACGTCAACTCATTTTCGTCTTAAAACATTTTTTTTCTCCGGATCTCGACAACATTGCCGGATTCTTCGCTTCAATTTCAATGCTGCCAATGCGTTTCAACAAAAATAAAAGAAGAAAACGTTTTAAACGATCATCAATTCTCAAAGCTGAGGAAATCTTCGTTTACGATTCTCTCCTTTCCTTGCATTGCTGTTGAGTTCTCCAAGGCTTTCTCTTTCACTTCACTCTATAGCAGGAAACCAGAAGAGAAATTATTTTATAGGGTAAATTAATATTTAGTATCTCAACTATTAATTTTGATCTGTTTTGATTATCCAATTATTTTTTATTTTAAAATAATATCAAATGTGTCATCGTCATCTTCATTGAAAATATTCAAAATATTTCACGTCAGAATTTCTGTTTTTTTTTAATAAACTGTGATCAAAATGAAACCAGAATATAACATTGACTGTAATTTTAAAAAATATAGTAATTAAGTGACCAAAATAAAACGAGATACCAAGCATGTAGTTTACACTATTTTAAATTTTGTTTTTAGTTAGCAATTTTGAATACGGAGAGAGCGGTGGTTAAGTAACTAAGCAAGACGGTTAGTTGTTAACCAAAGGTAAAAGTAGAACTTAATTTACTTATTTATTTATGGCACAATAACTTTTCGGGCCCTCCAACTTAACAGTTTTGTAATTTTGGACTTGTTCTGTTTATTTTTTTCAATTAATCCAATTTGTCTTTTATTAAAATTCTGATGTTAACTATTTTAATTTTCTAACTATTTATCAGAAAATATTAAAAGTTGTATAGAAAAGGTTGATGCAGCATTTCAATCAAATTGAAGATTTAATAACTGAATCTAAAATTTCAACCAAATTGGAGATTTAATATAAATTTTCTGTCATTTCACCTCTAATTTAACTAATTAAGAGTATGATATTTTTAAATATAATTTATATCTTTTATTAATATGAGATAATTATAAGATAATATATATTTAAAAGATTTTGAATCATTTGATAACAAATGCTCAAACACCTCAACAATGGTGTACTCAAACCCGAGACCTCTAACGATAATAATCATCTCTTTAACCATTAAGGTTGCATAGTTCATAAATATTATTTAATTTAATTTTGAATGATAATTAGAATACATCTGAATTTGTCTGGTAAACATCATTTTATGTTTAGCACTTGACATAGTTTGTGCTGTTATCACAATATCACCTAGACCAACATAAGGGATGGATTGAGGGGGGCGGGTGTAAGAGTTCAAAGTTAGAATAAATAGCACAAAAGGTTCCAAAGATGGTTGGAGTATGCAGGGTGGGACTCCATGGCCCGGAAACAATCTAAAATGATCCGGGGTGAGTTGTTTTCCTTTAAATGCTGCTTGGGATTAAGGAAGATGTTGAAATCTAGCCAAACAAATTAATGATTGGGTTTAGGTGACTGATTAATTGAATGCTCATTGATTTAGATGTTAATTAAGGTAAATTTCATCAAGTAAAACAATAAAAAATATCAATGATCAACAATTAACATCAAAATTAATACCACCACTAATCAGTAAAACAAAAAAAATAAAATAAAAAATAAAAAAATATTTTGCGGTATTATGATGCATCAGTTTACTTGATTAATGCATAACATATTAAAATCCAACAATCAACACTGTAATTTACCATGAAACTTGACCAAGGTAGTTGAAAGGCTTAAATGCATATTTTCCAATTAATTACACTTTTTACAGAATTATCCTTTAAAAATATTTTTTCTAACATGTTATTCTATCAACTAAAAATTGTTATCTCGTTTATCTTAAATAATTAATACCATTAAAAAAATTTCAGACCAATCAAAACATATTACATCATCATTTAATTTTTATTTTCTTTATTTGAATAAATGAAAATTAATTAAAAAAAATTAAATAACATGTCAACAAACCCACCCACCTCTTCACCTTCTTCTCTCCATCTCCACCGATAAACTCCATTTCCCCAACCCCAACATTCCTCTAAATTAGGCGATTTTCCCGATATATCACCGGTGACCGGTAATATTATCGATCTAACACCGGTCAGACTATATTTCCCGATCTAACACCCTTAGCAGTAAAGCACGCCCCTGCACCATGCTATACGATGATTTGGCGCCACGTGTGGTATAGCGCGCCCCTTGCACCGCGCTATACGGTGAGCTGGCGCCACGTGGGTATAGCGCGGCCCCTGCAGCGCGCTATACCCCACGTGTCAGATATACAAGTATAGCGCGCTGCAGGGGCCGCGCTATACCCACGTGACGCCAGCTCACCGTATAGCACAGTGCAGGGGGCGTGCTATACCCCACGTGACGCCAAATCATCGTATAGCGCGGTGCAGGGGCGTGTTTTACTGTTAAGGGTGTTAGATCAGGAAATATAGTCTGACCGATGTTAGATTGATAATATTACCAGTCACCGGTGATATATCGGGAAAATCGCCTCTAAATTAACTAAGACCCATCGACGATACTAAAAACTCCTATCATCATATCAATGTTAGTAACTTTATTTTGGGTGATTTCTGAATTATGGTTCTGCTGGTGTTGAAGGGAGAAAAACAAGAAAAATGAGAGGAGGAAAAGAAGATGACCCTGATTGGGGCGGTGCATCTGGGAGCGGTAGTTGCCTGCTTGGTGGTGTTGATACCGGTGGTGAAGGCTGGTTGGCCTTTGCGCCGAAACAAGATTTTTTTTGCACTGGTGTTTTCTATTTGCGTCCATTTCACTCTCTATTTCCCTCCCTGATTTCGTTTCTTCCATTTCTTCCGTCGTCGTCTTCTATTACAAATCTTCTTGCATCAATTTGGTTAACGACATTTCATGGAATGTCAAGCCCAGCGTCTCTCTTCAACGTTTCAACGCCACCCACAACGTGTCTTCGTCTATCGATTTATACGACAAGCGCTGGGATTGGTCCAAATCCCACAAGCTCAACACTTATGACTTTCAGAAGTTGTCTAAATCCGATGCCTCCGACTTGTTAAATGGTTCCTGGGTGGTGGTCGCAGGGGATTCCCAAGCACGATGTTTCGCCCTCTCCTTGTTGAATTTGATTTTGGGTCCCCAAGCTCAGCGCATGTACTCAGTTATAATTGATTTGTTCAAAAGGCAGAGTGATTACAACATTTTTATTGATGAAATTGGTGTGACATTGGCTTTTATTTAGGTGCCTTATGTTGTGAATTTAACCAATTCCATGGAGCAAGACCTTGCTTTCGGTGATGTTATGATGGGTGCCGCGGGCGATGACTGTGGCCGGTGTTTTTCGGAGCTGAAGAAGGGTGGGGCGAGGAGGGTGATGTTGATGGTGGAGATAGAAAAGAGGGGTAATTTTGGTAGTTTATTAATTTTATTATTTAATTTTTTATTTTTTTAGATAAAGAGGGGTGGGCACGTGGGTTTCCCAATGGTAATAAAAAAGAGAGATGTCCATGAATGAATTCTACTCTATTGTTGATTTCACCAATAATTTGGTACCGTTTTCAATAACTGCAATTACCAGATTGACTAAAATAATGGTGGCCGAGGAAAGAACAGTGATTATGTTTTGCTTTTCCTTCAAAAGGAAAGAACAGAGGCTTTTATTATTATAAAGTTATTTTCTCTTGTGAGAACGAGTGGCAATATTTCCAACGAAAGTCTCACCGAGTGATGATCAATGTTTGACAATAAACTCCAGATTATGTTCATCATTTGACTTACGAAAGTCTCTTGTTTTCAAAATCTTAAAATTACTAAAATGTTTTGTTATATCAAAAAGAGGGAGATTGTTGAAAACATTTTGATATTTCGATATAACAAATTAAGTTAAATGAATTTTAAGATTTTACAAAAAGATTTTCTAAGTATATTCGATATAATTATTTGAATATCAAAATATTACTCCAAATCTTTCAAATGTCATTTTTAATCCTTTCTCAAGTGTAAAATTAAGTTTCAATCTTAAAATAATTTCAAAACAATTTTACAAAGTATTTCGAACCTTTTCAAAGCCAAAAATTCCAGATTGTCCTTAGGGAACTGATTCCCTCCAAAGGGGTACCGATTCCCCCTGAATGGTTTGGCTCCGAGAAAAATAGAATGCTCGAAGGGAACCGATTCCCCCCAAAGGGGTACTGATTCCCCCAGTTTAACGGTCGAAATATTTGAATTTTACACTTAGGGAACCGATTCCCTATGAGGGGGAACTGATTCCCCCCACGATCCAAGCTGTTTTATTAATTGTTTTCACACTTAAACGGCTCCATTGACTCCACTAATCATCCCCAACGTTCAGAATCAATTGAAGGAGTATTTAAATAAGCTTAGATGCCATTGATCAAAATCAAGAAACAACAATCAACAAGAATCAAGAGAGAATCAAAGAGAAAGCATCAAACCTCAAGTTTGAGCATTTTCAAGCCTATTTCATTCAATATTCATTTTTGCTTTCAAGAACACTTATTGTGTTCAATTGTATTATTCTTGAGTGTTCTTTCTTTGTTCTAGAATTGTACAAACATTTTGCCTTGTGAGGATTTTCTTGTAAGTTTGCAAAATTTGTATTGTTCTCTTTGGGAGAGAGTGTTCTCAAGAATTTGGGGTATAATTCTTGAGGGATTTGTAAGGTTACTCTTTGTCCTCAAAAGAAAGACAAATTAGTAAATTTGTGGAAAATCCTTAGTGTGGATAGCTAAGGTAGTGGACATAGACTTTGGTTGAGAAAGTCGAACCACTCTAAATCGCTGCGCAATTACTTTCAATCACATTTAATCGATGCATGATATTTAAACTCATTTAATTTTTTTGATGTAAACAGATTAATTTAGTATAAATATGACATCTCAAAGTGGTAGTGGGACTGGAAGTAAAAGTGGGAGTGGGTCAATTTCATCGTCCCAAAGTGAGAATTTATCACCATGGTGAAACTATGTGACAAAGATAGAAAAGTGAGGGACTTTTGCAGGAACTTGGAATTTTTGATGTAACATTTGCGGTAAAACTCGTAATGGAAGCTATACTAGGATAAAGACACATTTGCTTCAAATTTCAGGTGAAGGAATTGCAACTTGCAAAAAGGTAACTACAAATAAAAATCTTGAAATTGTAAGGTTGGTAGAAGAGTCGGAGAATAGAAAGAAACAAGAAGTAACTAGAGAAATTTCTTTGCCCTCTCAATCTTCAGCTGGAATTGAGATTGATTATTCTTCTAAGAAGAGAAAACCTAGCTTGTTACCTCTTGCTAGAGCATTCGACGTGAATACGAGAGCCCAATTAGATGAAGAAATTGCAAGAATGTTCTACACCGATGATTTGCCCTTTAATCTTGCTAGAAATCCTCATTATCATAGGGCTTTCACTTTTGCTGCAACTCACAATATTCTTGGTTATGTTCCCCCTGGTTATAATAAATTACGAACCACATTGCTCCAACAAGAAAAAAATAATGTTGAGAAACTCTTGCAACCGATTAAAGAAACATTACAAGAAAAAATGTTAACTATTGTGTGTGATGGTTGGAGTGATCCAACAAGAAAACATCTCATTAATTTCATGGCTACTTATGGAAATGGGCCTATGTTTTTTAAAGCTGTGAATTGTTTTGGTGAAGTCAAAGATAAGTTTTTCATTACTAATTTGATGAAAGAAGTGATTGATGAGGTTGGTCATCAAAATGTGGTGCAAATTATTACTGACAATACAGCTAATTGCAAGGGGGTAGGAGAGATTATTGAGAGCATGTGTCCTCATATTTATTGGACACTGTGTATTGTCCATACACTTAATCTTGCCTTGAAGAACATTTGTTCAACAAAAAATGTCGAGGGAAATGAGGAAACATATGACTTGTGCCATTGAATTATTGATATTCATGGGGATGTCGTACAAATCAAGAATTTCATCATGAACCACAACATGAGATTAGTAATCTTTCAAAGATTTAGTCCTCTTAAGTTACTTTCAGTTGCAGATACTCGTTTTGCTTCTATCATTGTGATGCTTAAGAGATTTAAGTTCATCAAGAAGGGACTTCAAGCAATGGTCATTAGTGATGAATGTAATTCTTATAGGGAAAATGACACAGTGAAAGCAAACTTTGTGAAAGAAAAGCTTGTGAGTGATGATTGGTGGAATAAAGTAGCTTACATCATTGATTTTACAAAGCCCATCTATGACATACTCAGAGTATGCGACACTAATAAGTCATGTCTTCATTTGATATATGAGTTGTGAGATTCTATGATTAAGAAAGTGAAGTGTGAAACTTACAAGAAGGAAAAATGTCGTCTTTCAGACTTCAGTCCTTTTTGTCATGTTGTTTATGGGATTCTTATAGCTCGTTGGACAAAGAGTTATACTCCTCTCCATTGCCTAGCTCATTCACTAAATCCAATGTACATACATAACTTTGTTAGTTTTGAATTTTATATTTTCAACTCCTAGTTCTTTGATACTATGTGTAATTTTCTTTTTAATATGTTGAAGGTTTTATAATGATGGTTAGCTAAGCGAGGATTCTTGTAAAGTTGCTCCTCATAGAGATGGTGAAATATCTCGAGAGATAATGAAATGTTTTCGTAGGTTATTTTCAAACGATGATGATTATGAAAAAGTCTTGGATGAATTTACTTGTTTCTCACTTAAGCTCATGCCTTTTGAAGATTTGATGTCTCTTACAAAGAGGTATTCTTCGGATCCGAAAGGTTGGTGGGCTAACTTTGGTGTCGAAATTCCATTGCTCTAATCTTTGGCTTTCAAAGTGTTTGGACAACCTACTTCATCCTCTTGTTGTGAAATAAATTGGAGCACTTACTCTTTTATCCATTCACTTAGGAGGAATAAGTTAAATCTGATTCGCGCAGAAGATTTAGTTTACATTCACTACAATTTTCGTCTTTTATCAAGGAGTTCTAGTCAATATGAGGATGAGAAAACCAAGATGTGGGATGTTGGTGGAGATGCTTTTGATTCATTGGGAGATGTTGGATATTTAGAGTTTGTCGAACTCTCGTTTGACGAGCAGGATTTAGAGAGCCAGTTAATCTCGAAAGATGTTAACAATGTTTGATTTGGGTTTAATATTTTATAGACTTAATATTATGGTTTGAGTCTTAGGATTTGACACTTTAATATTATGATTTTATTATGGATTTTATTATTCTAGAGTTAATATTATGATTTGAATCTTGAAATTTGACATTTTAATATTGTGATTTGTTTATGGATTTTACTGTTCTAAACTTAATATTGTTGTTTGAGTTTTGATATTTGACTTTATTTATGATTTTTTATATATATTTATAATTTTAAAATTATTTTATACGTCGTACCCTTGCCGTCTCCGTACCCTGTAATTTTAAAAATTATTGTTTCCCATCCTGTCCCCATATCCGTCCTTATATCCGTATCAGTGCAACATAGCTTCGTCTATCGATTTATACGAAAAGCGCTGGGATTGGTCCAAATCCCCCAAGCTCAACACTTATGACTTTCAGAAGTTGTCTAAACCCGATGCCTCCGACTTGTTAAATGGTTCCTGGGTGGTGGTCGCAGGCGATTCCCAAGCTCGATTTTTCGCCCTCTCCTTGTTGAATTTGATTTTGGTTTTTATTGATGAAATAAATGTGACATGGCTTTTGTTTGGGTGCCTTATGTTGTGAATTTGACCAATTCCATGGAGCAAGACCTTGCTTTCGGTGATGTTCTGGTGGGTGTCGCGGGTGATGACTGTGGCCGGTGTTTTTCGGAGCTTAAGGAGGGTGGGGCGAGGAGGGTGATGTTGATGGTGGAGATAGAAAAGAGGGGTAATTTTGGTAGTTTATTAATTTTATTATTTAATTTTTTATTTTTTTAGATAAAGAGGGGTGGGTATGTAGGTTTCCCAATGGTAATAAAAAAGAGAGATGTCCATGAATGAATTCTACTCTATTGTTGATTTCACCAATAATTTGGTACCGTTTTCAATAACTGCAATTACCAGATTGACTAAAACAATGGTGGGCGAGGAAAGAACAGTGATTATGTTTTGCTTTTCCTTCAAAAGGAAAGAACAGAGGCTTTTATTATTATGAAGTTATTTTCTCTTGTGAGAACGAGTGGCAATTTTTCCAACGAAAGTCTCACCGAGTGATGATCAATGTTTGACAATAAACTCCAGATTATGTTCATCATTTGACTTGCGAGAACTGATAGATATGATATTTGTGTAAAAGGAATCAAGTATCAATTTAAGTTTGGTTAAAAAAACTAGTATGAGTCCTTTTATGAACATATATGATTTATTCAAGGACCAAGTATTTGTGGCTTTGATGTTGCCTTTACACTGCAATGAAAACTATAAACTGATACAAAGATACTATTAACATCTCTCTCTTATCTACACTACCATGATAGACATGTTCCATGGCTCCGAAAACCATAACTTTTTGCTTGTAGGGAATGGTCTTGCCTTCCATTATCGGCCATTGATTGATGTGAAGGAATCCGCAAATCCTACCGGCTTCGCCGGGATGCTTCCTTTTCTATCATCCAGACTTGTATAGCTCACGCCTCGGTTTTCAGCCGCCTGCCAAACCTTCAACATATGGGGAAGTGGCTGGTCGTAATCAATGCCTGAGTAACCCTTTGATTCGTCATTGACCGGCTTCCACTTTTCAACTAAAGGTGCTGGCTCATTCATGGCATGGCCCATGTCAGGCTGATGATAAGGATCCCTTGCGGTGCAATGGCAGGCTAGTTCAGCTATGGTGGCAATGCTCTCGTAGGTTTCCTCATTCACTTCGAGAGCTGGATCGATTTCGGCCATAAGTTTGTCCTTGTTTGATTTGATTCGCCCATACCATTCCGCCAAGTAACGAGTTTCCTCCGAGCGCCCCTCATCGAGTGCTGTTAATCTGGTCACTAGTTCCATCAACACCACCCCATAGCTAAATACATCAACTTTAGCACTGATTTTCCCCATCACTGCAACCAACAAGAATTATGAGGCCACTAAGAAGCTAAAATGTAAATAATATAATAGAAAATTCACTCACGATGCAAATTCGGATTGCTAACCTGCATATTCAGGTGCTAGGTATCTGAATGTTCCAGCGAGACTAGTCGCCATGGACTTCTCTCCATCCGGAACAAGTTTCACCAACCCGAAATTCGAAACTTTTGCTCAAAAGTCATCATCTAGAAGGATGTTGGAAGATTTGAGATCTCGGTGTATAAAGGTTTGTCGAGCCAAATTATTAAGATATTTCATTCCTCTAGCAACATCCAATGCAATACTAATCTGCCTTCTCCAAGATAGAGGTTCCAATTTTAAGCTCTTCTAATGGAACAGATTCTTGCTTAGATCACCCTAAGACATAAACTCATAGACAAGAGGCCTCTCATTACCTTCAATGGAAAAACTCAAAAGAGAAACCAGATGCCGAAGCTGGACCTTAGATAGAATGGCGATTTTGGATTGAAATTCATCCAATGCCTTAATGCTTATGATCCCAGCTTCCATCCTCTTAACTGCTAGTTGAGTTCCATCTTCGAGTACACCCTTGTAAACGGTCTCAAACCCGCCACGACTAAGCTCGTTCTCTCCGGCAAAATCGTTGGTCCCTTTCCAAAGTACTTGAACAGAAATGACCAAGTTTCCAGACTCAGTTGTATGAGACTTGTGTTGCACCACTATGACTACAACTTGAGCTTATCGCAGTTTTACTAAATAAGCTTTCACTGGTGTTATTGGAAACATCTATCTTAACTATGTTTTCGGGATAGGATGGATCTTTAAAATGAACAACAATTGAACTAGGCACCTCATAAGCTCTTTTTCTCTTCTTAAAAAAGAATATATAAAACAGAACCACTAAAAGAACCATAATAGCAATGGTTGCAGTACCTGCCACAATTACCAATTTGAATCCTTGGAAACCATTGGATTGGGAATCCGGTTATTTGGCAGTGGCAGTAGATGACTTAGTTCTGGTATCTCGATTTGGGGATGGTGTTCTGCTCATTGTTAGTGGTGACTCTTTACCACCTGATTGATCACTTGGAGGAGACTCTACAGGTGCAAGACTGATAGTCCTAGAAGGGGAAGGAGGTTCTCTTGTATGATTACTGACCAACAGAGGCTTTTATGCGATGATGATCTTCATGCTGTCACGAAATTTCGGTAACTGAGGCTCGAGATTGTTGTCACTTAGATCTAATGTTCTGAGAGTTCCCAGATCAGTTAAGTTCTCAGGAACGGTACCATGAATATAATTTCCCCTAGTATAATTTCCATCAATGATTCCAACTTTGCAAGTGAAGGACTAAGTGTACCACTAAGATTACGTCAAGGCAAGTTGATGATCGAAACCTGATAATTTCGGTTGCAACTGAACCCCATCCATAGACCAACGCAAGGCTCATTACCAGACCATTGAGAAACTAGATTTATAGGGTAATTCATCCCACCAAGGAAGTCCAGAAGTGCATCAACTTCAGGAGCACAAGCAATACCAGGTTTAGACTGACAAAACAAATTCGAATCATAAGAAAAGTTACCGGCTTTTATCTTCGGTATTCGACCGATCAGATGATTGTTGTTCAGAACCAAGTTATCAAGCCTCATATCAGCCAAGCTCCAAGGAATCAAGCCAATAATCTGGTTCCTATTGAGATTCAAATCCTTCAAAGATGTCAAATTCCCAATATTCTCAGGGATTGCCCCAGAGATTCGATTCCCATGAAGCCAAAGCTGCTTCAAAGACACCATATTAGCAACAATATCAATGGTACCAGTCATCCCTTCACTATCTTGATAATTCAACCACAAAATCTGCATCAAAGACTCACCGGAACTATCCAGAATCTCACCGGACAATCTGTTATAAGAAAGTTTAAGTACTGCAAGAGATGGAAACTCCCCTAGAAACTCAGGCAATGGACCAACCACATTACAGTTAACCAAAGAAAGGTTTGTCAACTGAGCTGAATTAGCCAATTTATTAGGAATCGACCATCCAGTAGTCTTGTTAAACGGATTGTAATCCAAAGCCAAGACTCGTACACTGCTCAATCCATCAAAGAAATCAGCTGGAATAGTATTAAATTCATTGTTATCCAGGTAAGCAAACTCCAACTCTGATAAACCACTAAAGGTTGATAATTTACCATTAAAGTGATTCTTTTGAAGCCCCAAATTGAAGAGTTTTGAAAGCTGGTTGAGGTTTTGAGGAAAAGGTCCTTTGAGGCCAAGATTTTGGACTTGAATTTGAGCAACTCTATCCCCATAACAGAACACATGGGGCCAAGGAGGAGGGTCGTATGAGGGAAACAAGCGTGGATTCTGCTCAATCAAACCAGAGCATGTTCAGTCTAAAATCGTGACAAACATTTGGTCATAAATTTCATAGGTGTAACTGATTTTATCCTTGTATTGTACAGGTGTCCACTGTAATCTCTAGCACAATTCTAGCATTATCGTTTATGTTTTTCCTAAACTCATTCTTGTATATAACTATATAGAATCTCTATCAATAAAGTGTGGGAAAATTGTTGAAAACATTTTGATATTTCGATATAACAAATAAAGTGTTAATTAATTTTAAAATTTTATATTCAATTTAAAATATAATATTCGATTCACTTATTCGAATATCATAAATATTACTACAAATTTTCAAATATCAATTTTACTCCTTACTTAAATGAAATATTGTGTTTCACTCTTAAAGTATTTTTGAAATAATTTTTACAAAGTATTTTGAACCATAATCGAGTCAAAAATGAGTTCTAAATAGGGAAGTATCGATACCTCTTTAAAGAGTATCGATACCCCTTAAACATCGAATGCAAAAGAGGTAATGATACACTACAGGGTATCGATACCCCTTTATATAGGAGTACCGATACCTAGCCAAAAGGTACTAATACCCCTCGTTTTGATTTTGACTCTGAAAAATAACAGAATGCAAAATGGGTACCAATACCATGATAGGTATCGATACATATTTACATAGTGGTATCGATACCCCCTTGAGAGGTACTGATACCATGGGTTTTGCAACAGTCGAAATATTTGAATTTTATACA